TGGTGGCTTCCCTCTGGTGGAGGGGGGAGAATCCTGGGAGGAGGCAGATGCAGGGGACTCTCTGCTGCCACTGGCACCCCGCTCCCTGTCCGCACTCCCAGCTCCCACTCCCCTGTCCCTGGCTACAGTACTCTATCCCCACTCCCGTCCCCACTCCATGAACTCTGTCCCCACTGGCACCCTGTCTCTAGCTGCAGAACCCTGTCCTCTGCCCTCCCAGCACCTTGTTCCCTCTCCCCTGCCCCCGGCCTCAGAACTCTGACCCCACAAAATGTATAATTATAAATGCTTCATTTTAGATTTAAATAGCATGAATAAAAACCAGACCATTTATTTCATAACTATAAACACGTGATTTTAATTTTATATGTCGCATAATTTAAAAATAAACTGTTTATCAGAGTGTGTAAGTAAGGGCTGGGGATAGCAAGTGATGGACAGGAGGAGAATAGAGAGGACGGGGCTTCAAGGAAGGAGCGGGGCAGTAGATCTTCGCCTGTTCTGAGATTTAAAAAGTGATCTTGGGTGTAAAAAGGTTGGAGACCACTGGAGTAAATCATGACCCCATTTTAATAGGATCGCCACTACTCACATTAGACTGTAGGGTACAGGTTACAGACCTCCTTGCTGTGGCTGAAGTCGTGGGTTTCCTTTCCCCACCCTAAAGTCTGGAGCTCGAAGTTTGGATTTGGCGGTGGCACTGTGAGGCTAATGACAGCTGCCATCGTTGCCAGGCTTGGCACAGCGGCGGTAGCAGGTGTGGCTGCAGTGCAGGGTCACCGGCTCACACAGTAGCTGCCTGCACAGGATGCAGCCAAGTAGCGTCAGCGGGCAGAAGCAGGAGGGGTCTCCCCAGCACTTCGCACCTTCAGATGTATGAGTCTGACCATCCCAACGCACCCTCAAATTTTTTTTATTTTATCTTATTTCTATGATATTGTAACTTTATGATAATATTTTTTAGTTTTGGATACTTAAAAGTGTGACACTTTCAATAACCCAAACTCTGATCCCTTCTGCCTAATTTGTATTGTCATCTGTACTGTTCAGAATCTTAATGTAATGTAACTAAGTTATGGATGTTCTAATTTGTCCTTACTCGCTTACCGAAACCATAACCCATTTACATACTCTTATCATTTTGAATTTTTAGAAAAATGTAAGTGGGTCTTTCTGGTGAATATTTTCAGATGTATTAGATCATCCTTAGAAATAACCACAAATGCTTTTTATTTCTTAGGTGTAGATATGTATGTTTCAATGTATGTATTGTTGGGGCTCATAGCTGAAGCATCTGGAACTAGGGATGTTAACTTGGTTAATATAATAGTTGATTAACTCAGTGAATTCTTATTGGTTCCTCGATTATTCTATAGTTCCCGGGGGTGGGGCTAGCAGCCAGTGTGCTCTGGCCCCACTCCCAAGGAGCCTTCTGCCAGTCTGTGCTGCTGCCTCTGTAGGGTGCCAGGCGGGGAACTGGTTTGCAAGGGGAGCCGTTTTAAAAACAAGCTCCACTTGCATGCCAGCAGCATGGGGTGCCAGCAGACCCTGTTTAAGGAGAGGGGGTCAAGCTCCTGGACCCAGCATGAACTGGGACTGAACTGGGCTGCCTGTCTGCCTGGCTCCTAATGTAGAGCCACAGCAGGGGTAGGTCGCAGACCTGATGCAAGCCAGGCTGCTGGCCAGCTTGGTAAGAAATTTACTGGCTGGAGGAAGGGGGAATGCATGTAGTCTGTATCATTAACTGAAAAGCTTTTGCTTATTGGTTAATTGACTACTATTCCATCCCTATCTGGATCAGTACCCTGGTACCTTATTTTCAAGTAGAATTTGACATGTCAAAGAAATTTGTCTTGCATTGAGAAAGGGACTGGAATTCTCTTTTGAAATCCAATACTGTACATCTGTAAATTTGAAATTTATTAACTGCTATTTTAATGCTAAAATAGTTCAAACTTAATTGGAAAATATTCATGATTTGTTATCTGAAAAATAGCTAACGTTATCAAACTGTGCCCACAGTTTATCTCTAGACTGAGATTAAACAAGGAATTACATGCCCAAAAGATAGCTTTTGCAGAAAGTTTATAAGTACATGAAAAAGCCTTGCTACTATACTAAAATTATATATTTTCTATGTTTATCTTGTAAAGAGAATATAAATTTTTAGAATGTATTTCTCTTGGTATTAGTGTCATCTTTGCTGTTGTTCTTTGCAAACACCAGTTTCCTTTTTTGTTTAATATTCTGTCAGCACTTGTCTGACATATATTGTGTTGTTCCATGCAAGATGCAGCCAACAAAATTTGATACAATTAAAACTCAAATACAAAATTTCTGAAATGTCTGTTAACCTCATTAGACATTCACAATTTGCATGCAAAATCAGAAAAGTTCTTAAAGATTTTCTTTAATAACTTAGAAAGCTGGTGTGGTGTACAACTGCCATAAAGTGAGTTCTGAGACATGCTACTGAAATATTCTTAAGATTTACATTCTCAATGTTTACAGTTCTTGGAAGGAGTATTTGGTTTGTGGCAAGACAAGTACTTCATCTTCTGTCAGTCCTTTCTTTTACCCATCTCCCCCCAAAATAATAACTTGCTTTTAAAATTCTTTGTTTTCCACAGTTTATCAAAACTCAACTATTGAACACATTCCAGATTCCTCGGATGCTAACATAACGTAAGAGCTCTTAAAAATCTGTGTTATTACTCTGTTCCTTATATACGCTTTTTTAAAACTAGGTAGGAAAAATAGCCTTTCAGAGTTTCTTCATGAAATATCTTTTTATTAATATTTTCCAGTGAAATAAAACCAAAGGGATTTTGTGTTCTGTTATTGAAAATGTTGGTCACTTTGTGATTGGGAATAAGATTAGAAATTTATCAGTGCTGTTTAGAATCAGGTATAGTCCTATGGCTTCTGTCCATCAAAATGTTCATGTGTTTTATTTTTTTGTTTTTTGGGTGGGTGGCTGGGTGATGGTGGTGGTGGTTGTTTTTAGAATAACGTTCATTACTGTTCTTTCTGCTAGGAAATTTTCAAAACAAATGCTCTAAAAATTAATCTCTGTTCCCAAAAGAGAAAATCAACAGATCTTTTACATTTTTTAAGTTACCGTATTTTCCGGCGTATAGGGCGACTGGGCGTATAAGACGACCCCCTATCTTTTTAATTAAAAGATAGGGTTTCATCTTATACCCCAGCGCCCCTCCGCCTCCTTTGCTCCCGGTGTCCCTGGTCTGCTGGTAGAGATTGCAACTGAACCCAATTCTTGAACCCAATTCTTGTGTGTCCTAAACCAGAGCAAGACTCTAATCACCAAGTCACCTTCACCTTCCAAGAAATTGAAAAACACAAGTTTGAGCACTTTGCAATATGCAATAATTCAGTGACAATCTATAATAGCTCTGATATGCACCAAACTGCAGCACCTCTGGTACTTTCAACATTAAGGTCTGTACAGTGAACAGTGGTCTGATTGCATCCTTGCCATCATAAACTTCTGGTCCTAGAAAAAAAATGTTACTTCTCTGTTCAGGCAAAATCTCACAAATAGTTTAACAGGTAACATTACAGACTGGGAGCGAAATGAATTGTTCATGTTGGCTGAAGTGCCTTGTTATGACAGTATCTCCAGCAGGGCCCAAGCCTGAAAAACATTCAGACATAACACAAGATCCTGGTCCACATTTTTTAGAAAGCTTCCCCTCAAGAGTAAGTCAGAAAAATGGGAAAATAATACAGGGAGATTGCACATGCGCGCCTGGGACCCCCCGCCGCCGGCTTCCCCCAAGGCTTTCAAAGCCGCGGAGGGGCTCCGGCGGCGGGGCATCCGGCGTACAAGACGACCCCCGATTTTTGGGGGATGTTTTTTAACTTCAGAGGTCGTCTTGTACGCCGGAATATACGGTATGTCCATCTCTCCAATTCCGTGATGTCCATGGTTTCTTTGAGTCTGTGCTTTCTTTTTATATTAGGCAGTATATTGACATTGATGAAGTTTCTGCTTAAAACACTTCAGAATGCTCCTTAATAAAAATAGATTAGACAATTAGAGGAAGCACCGGTACAAAATGCATGCTTTCAGTCACTGTAAACCATGAAATTATGGGTCAACTGTCAAAATCCAGGAGTTCAGAGATTAGTACTAGTGCAAATCATGTTTGGAAGCTAGAAAGTTGAGAGGTGGGTTTGCCTGTCAACCTACACTTTTCTGCTTCTCTTGAGATTTTGCTATTGCCACTTTTAAGTACCATTTTTTTTATTAAACCTATCAAGACACTTTTTTGAAAGATGGGACATTAACCCTGGTGCTGTTGCTTCCATTGCCATTCTATTAATTACTTTATGCCTATTTCAAACTCCTCTCTCAGAGAATTACAATATTTTTCATTTTCTGTCGACTGTTGTATGGTGATCACAGAAATCCTAGGGACTAGAAGGGATTTTGAGGTAATCTAGTCCAGTTTCCTGCAGTCACAGCAAGACAAATTATTATTTAAACCAGTTTTTTTCAATCTTGCCAGACTTCTGTGCCCCTTTCAAGAATGTGATTAGTCATGTGTACCTCCAAGTTTCACTTCACTTAAAAACCTACATAATCAGGCATAAAAATAAGATGTCACAGAACACTATTACTGAAAAAATGCTTGCTTTCTCATTTTTTTACCATAGAATATAGTTTATAAATAAAATATATCAATTAGGGATGTAAAATCCCATTTAATTAGTTAGCTGCTTAAACATTGTTTTACCTGTTTGCTACTTAAATGGAGGGAGAGTGGGGGCTGCTCCAGGTCAGCTGGACCACTGGTTACCTATATTTGGTAAGCATCACCCAATAAGGGTGATGCTCACCAGTTAACCATTCACATTGTTAAAATCAATTGAAATATAAATATTGTACTTTCACTACAGTGTATAGTATACTGCACAGTAAAAATAAATAGTTATCTATTAAATGATTTGTTTATACTGACTTTGCTAATGGTTTTTCTATACAGGCAGAGCCTCTCTTTAATTTAGCACTCTCGTCTGGCAACACCCCATGTCTGGCATGATTTTAGTTAGCTGGATGTCCACTTATCATGGTTGTGGCCAAGTTTCCTGTGGTCCCATAAAGTTTGTGTACAGCCACCAGTCCTGGCTCAGTGTTCTGTGCCATTACTTAGCTCTAATTTATCCCTAAATATCTTCTAAGAGCTCAGTAAGCAGTGGAAGTGTTAGTAATGCTGCTTAGTAATATTGACCTCCCATGGTTCTGCAAATTCTCTGGCTTGGCACCAGTCAAATTCCTAAAGTGCCAAACTAGAGAGGTTCAACCTGTAGCCTGTTAAAATTAAGAATATATCTAGATGAGTTGATGTTCCCTGGGGGTACTTAGAGTTATTTTGTGGGGAACATGTATTCCTGATTGAGAGAGACTGATCTAGACCATCTCTGATGGGTGTTTGTCTAATGTGCTCTTAATCTCTATCATCAGAGATTCTGCAGCCTTTATAGGCAATTTATTTCAGTGCTTACCTGTCCCAACAAGAAGTTTTTCCTAATGTCCAACCAAAAGTGCTTTTGCTGCAGTTTAAATGTATTGTTTCTTGTCTTATCCTCAGAGGATAAGAAGAACATTTTTTTTCTCCCTCTTCTTTGTAACAACCTATTATGTATTTTAAAACTGTGAGGAGCATGCTAGTCTAGGCATATACAGGTTGAACCTCTCTGGTCCGGCATCCTTGGGACTTGACTAGTGCTAGACCAAAGAAGATTGATGTACCCGTGGTCTCCATGTTTCCTCCTGGCAGCCCTTCTTCCTCTCTTCTTGCACCTCTGCTGTCACCCAGGGCTCCGATTTTGCCCCACGGCTTTGCTGCTCCCTGAGTGGGACTCCATGCTCCGCCCAGCAGGTTTGCTGCTGCCAGGGGTTCTCTCCAGCAGCCCCATGCCTGGTGCTCTGTACTGCACCGAACAATCCTGCTGCTGCTAGGGACTCTCCCCAGCAGGGCGCTGCAGGCCTGGACTCCAGTCTGCCCGCCCTAGTCTGGTAATGCTCCTAGTTCCATGCCAGACCAGGTGTGTTGCCGGACTAGGGAAGTCCAGTTTATGGAGTGTCAACCTGCAACACTTCCCATCAGTACTTGCCTCGAGCCAGGGAAGCCAATTAGTTAAGCAGTGAACTAAATTAAGTGGTGAATCCTCGTCGTGTATCAAAAAAGGGATGTTGTATGCATGCTAAGCTGATGTCCCCTCATAGTTGTCTGCAGATTTAAAAAAAAAAAAAACACTACGATTTTTTTCAATCTCTTCTTATAGGTCATGAGTTCTAGATCTTTAATCATTTTTGTTGTTCTCCACTGGACTTTCTCCAGTTAGTCCATTTCTTTTCTGAAATGTGACACCCAGAATGGGACACAGTGTTGCAGTTGAGACCTTACTGTAGTAGAGTAGAGTGGAGTGGAAAAATTACTTCTGTCTTGCTTACAACATTACTGCTAATAAATCCCAGAATGTTTGCTTTCTTTGCAACAGTGTTGGACTGCTTACTCCATAGTTAGCTTGTGATCCACTATGCTTGTGATCCCAAATCTTTTTCTGTAGTACTCCTTTCTAGGCAGTCATGCTCGTACTAGAGGATGAAAATGTAGCACTATGTGAGCGGTGTGAACAGCTGGCTAGATATAGTTGCTGTGGAAACCATATAACTTTGATTTCACAATTATTGTGCATTTAAAGTAGAACTTCAGAGGCGTTGATTAGACTTGTACATTTTTATAAAGGGAAAAGTACAATGTGTAAAAAATATAACACATGCTCTATTTTAACAGCCTCTTGAAGTCCTGAAAAATATAAATTGCAGATGTCTGGTTTCGCTTCAGATACCTTAACAAGAGAAATTAAATTAGGGGTTTGGAATACAAAGACTTTTTCAAACTTTTGGTAATTTACTTTATCACAGTGCATAATGTTAACAATCCAGATATCTCTGGCACTAAAGAAAATAGCTGTCACATATGTTGATTAAAAACACAACATTAATTACATTTTTCCTTTATATTTAGAAACACCTTTTCTCACAATATGATCTATCTGTCCTGAGAGCAAATGGAAAAAAGAAAAGGTGTTGTTCACATAGTGGTCCAGAAAGCCCCCTCAATACTTTCCTCATGTGCTCTTCTGAGAGCAAGAGACCCAGCAGTTACTCCTGTAACAGTTTTACTGTCTTGAATTGTATTCCTAAGCCTCCCTTGTAAGCACGCTCTGGATGTTCAGTGATTTAGGGCTTGTCTACATGAAGATGTTGCTATGGAATAAGGTAATGTGTGAATTTAAATTACGGTAGCTATTCCAGAGTAGCTCACTGTATGGAAACCCTTATGCTGAAATAGGTGTGTCCACAGGGAGAGTTATTCTGGAATAGCTTATTCTGGTCAATTTCTCTGTACAGGCAAGCTCTTAGGGTATGTCTACACAGCAGGGCTAAAGTCGAATTAAGCTACGCAACTTCAGCTACGTCAATTGCATAGCTGAAGTCGAAATAGCTTAATTCAGCTTTAGGCACTGTCTATACCTTAGGAAGTCAAAGGAAAACTTACTTAAACTTCCCTTACTTCTCATGAAATGAGGGTTGCCATGAGTTGGAGTAAGAAGTCCTCCAAGTCAATGACATTTTGAAATAAAGGCTTGTAGTGTAGATGCACACTTTGTTATTTCGGAATAATGTTCGTTATTCCAAAATAACACTGCTGTGTAGACGTACCTTAGTGGCCTGAAGTAGCCGATTAAAGGGTTCTATGCAACTCCATTGACAGCAATGCTTCTCACCTCAGTAGTAAGCAGTATGAATAATGATGAAGAGTCCAGAAAACGGAATGCTATCATGTTACAGCCAGTGGCCTTAGAGAAACTACAAGGAAAGTGAGGTCTGGCTATGTCAGTTAGACACTCGTGGCAGGAATGTTCACTTGCAATATAGACTTTGGGCTTGGGCTGCATCCTGTATTCCAGAACCCTGCAAGGTTGGAGAGTTCTAAAGCTCAGGTTGCAACTTAAGCCTGGAAGTTTATACACCAATTAAATACTCCTGAAGCCTAAGCATCATATATCCGAGTCAGCTGTCAGAGATCAAGGTAAATAGGATGAGACTCTTCCATCCTCAACTAAGGAGAATTGAGATAGATTTAGCTCCTGATTCAATGGATAGACCATCTTTCAAACCTGTTTGCTTCTTACATAGTGTCACATCAGTGCAGTCTGACTGAATGAAAGGTAGGTCTCAAAGACCCCCTAGCCTTTCCTTTTTTTCAGTTAACACCTTTTCCCCTCTGGGTGATTGTGTCCACTGCGTCATCTATGCTGTGACTGTCAAATCTATACCTGTACTTCTGACCTGTCTTGAATCTCATATTTCAGCCTGCCTCATTCATATTTCTTTCTGGATATCAAGACAACACTTTCAGCTTGGCAGATGATATGAAGCTGGGAGGGGTTGCAACTGCTTTGGAGGATAGGGTCATAATTCAAAATGATCTGGACAAACTGGAGAAATGGTCTGAGGTAAATAGGATGAAATTTAATAAGGACAAATGCAAAGTACTCCACTTAGGAAGGAACAATCTGCGTCTCACATACAGAAGTGGCTGTCTAGGAACTGCAGAAAGGTATCTAGGGCTCATAGTGGACCACAAGCTAAATATGAGTCAACATTGTCAACATTTTTTTGCAAAAAAAGCAAACATGCTTCTGGGATACATTAACAGGAATGTTGTGAGCGAGACACGAGAAGTCGTTCTTCCACTCTATTTTGTGCTGATTAGGCCTCAGTTAGAGTGTCCAGTTCTGGGCACCATATTTCAAGAAAGATGTGGAGAAATTGGAGAAGGTCCAAAGAAGAGCAACAAAAATGATTAAAGGTCTAGAGAACATGACCTCTGAAGGAAGATTGAGGGAATTGGGCTTTTTTTAGTTTGGAAGGGAGAAGACACAGAGGGGACATGATAGCAGTTTTCAGGTATCTGAAAGGGTGTCAAAAGGAGGAGGGAGAAAAATTGTTCCTGGCCCCTGAGGATAGGATAATAAGCAATAGGCTTAAACTGCAGCAAGAAAGGTTTAGGTTGGGTATTAGGAAAAAATTCCTAATTGTCAGGGTGGTTAAACATTGGAATAAGTTACCTAGGGAGGTTGTGGAATCTCCATCTCTGGAGATACATAAGAGCAGGTTAGATAGACATCTATATGGAATGATCTAGACCAGCATTTCTCAAACTGTGGGTCCTGACCCCCCCCGGGGGGGGGGGTTGCGAACAACTGAGAGGGTGGTTGCAGCAATGGAGAGGGGGATCACGGAATCACAAGTTTGAGAACCCCTGGTCTAAACAGTACTGGATCCTGCTGTGAGGGAAGGGGACTGGACTTGATGACCTCTTGGTCCCTTTCAGTTCTAGTGTTCTATAATTCTATGAACTCCACATGGATAAAACATCTTTCTAAGGCCTCTTAATTCTCACTGTAGTTATGTTACCACTTCTATTTTTCAGACTTGAATCATCATCTTGATCTCTTTTTACTCCTCCATGTACACCTAAGTGATGGCAGAACAAGAAGCAATGGTTTCAAGTTACAGTAGGGGAGGTCTAGGTTAGATATTAGGAAAAACTCTTTCATTAGGAAGGTGGTAAAGCATTGGAATGGGTTACCTAGGGAGGTAGAGGTTAAGGGGTTAAGTCCCGGCTTGACAAAGCCATGACTGGGATGATTTAGTTGGGGTTGATCTTGCTTTAGGCAAGGGGCTGGACTCCGATGACCTCCTGACATCTCTTCCAACCCTAGGATTCTATTATTCTAGTCTATGATTTCCAAGACCTGCTGTTTCTCTCCCCCCCGCTCCTCTCTCTGAGGTGGGATGTAAAGTCTTAATATAATTTTGATATTAAAAGATATTTATTAGGTTTTATAGTGGTTAAACTATATAGTCACCTACTTGAGATGGTCAGGTGAGCCACTGAGATCAAAATGTGAATATTAAATGGTTCATATTCTGCATCTCTTCCTGGCAAATACTTCTGCTTCCAACTTCATGTAATAAAACAATGGCGAGCATAGAAATTATTTTGTAAAGTTGATAGTGGTTACTTTAATTGGGATATAAACATATATTAAGAGAAACTAAATTGCTACTTTACTATTTTTCAGGTTATATTTCCTAAGTAAAGATGAAGAACAAAAAAAAATGTGTTTCAGATATTGAGGATCAAAAACATGAAGATATGGAAGGTAACTTATGCATCTGTATATCTACCTAACTTTGTGTGTAGTGTCATATAATAGAGATGGTGTTTGAAATTATATGAAATTAAAATATAAAGGAAAACATGAAAATATGTTATTGTTATAGAATTTAATTTTTACATTTACACTGGTTAACAAAATTTGGTTTTTCTTCTGCTTGGGAAAGTCCCTAAATACTTTACAGTAACAGTTCAACCTGACTTCTGTCAGTTTCAGGCAGAGATTGGCCGACTCCTGGGTTAGTAGTGTTTTCAACTAGTAGCAATGTAATTATCATAAATTTTAGTTAAATCTCTTCATTTGTATTTGAATTTTGTGTGAGTGGGAAAATATGGAAACATTGAGTGAAGGAATTAATAATTTTGTAAAAATGTTAAAGTTAACCTGTGTCATGGAACTAGTCCTTACTGACTGTAGTGAACTATGGGTTGAATTCAGTTTTGTTTGATTTGAAAATTAAGTTCTGATTTAACAAAATTTAGATGTTGCTGCATTTAACATGCATACTAGATACTTTGCTAGGTCATGAGGCAGTCTTGCAAAGATCTAATTTTAATTTGAATGAAAGTACAAAAGACTATAAGGATAGACTTTTTTGTTCATTTACAAGGTATTGGAACAGACATAATTAGGATGAAATGAGCATGTGCAGACCTCACAAGCATGTGAGGTGGGGGGGGGGGGGGGGGTATCGGGAGGCTATCAGGATCCAGGAGGCCCTACAGGAGAGCTTCTACCCTGAGGAGTCTGCAGAGCCACCCCAGTCCTCCCCATCAGGGGCTCGTGCCCCATTCCTCCCTAACCTCCTTCCACTTACCCCTCCTTAGCCCCCCTTTCTGATGTAAAAAATAAAGGACACGTGTTCAAAAATAGAAACTCTCTTTATTGAACAAAATTAGGGGGGGATTAACCTCTGGGAGACTGGGAAAAGGAGGTGGGAGAGGAGAAAAGAGAGGGTGGGAGAGAGGAGGGGGAAACCTGGGAGGAGGGAGCTGGAAGGGGGAAGCCAGGGGAAGAAGGGGAGGGGAAGTATAAAACTATGGTATGCCATATCTTCAGTACTGTGTACAGCTGTGATCTCCTCACCCCAGAAAAGATGTTTTGGCCTTGGAAAGGGTTCCAAAAAGGGCAACTAAAATGATTAGGGGTTTGGAACGGGTCCCATATGAGGAGAGGTTAAAGCGACTGGGACTTTTCAGTTTAGAAAAAAGGAGACTGAGGTCTATAAAAGGAGATAGAGGTCTATAAAATCATGAGTGGTATGGAGAGGGCTGATAAAGAAAAGTTATTTATTAGTTCCCTAAATAGAAGAACTAGAGATCACCAAATGAAATTAATGGGTAGCATTTAATGGGTTTAAAACGAATAAAAGAAAGTTCTTCTTCACACAGCATGTAGTCAACCTGTGGAACTCCTTGCCAGAGGAGGCTAGGACTATAATAGAGTTTAAAGAGAAGCTAGATAATTTCATGGGGGTTAGGTCCATAAAAGGCTATTAGCCAGGGGATAAAATGGCGTCCTTGGCCTCTGTTTGTCAGAGGCTGAAGAGAGATGGCAGGAGACAAATCGCTTGATCATTGTCTTCGGTCCACCCTCTCTGGGGCACCCGGTGTTGGCCACTGTCGGTAGACAGGATACTGGGCTAGAAGGACCTTTGGTCTTACCCAGTACGGACGTTCTTATGTTCTTATTGCAAATAAAATAAGGCTAGATTTGTTCAATAATTTAGCCTACCATCCCTGTGTTTGTTTATATATATATATATTTAAATTAATGTAGAGCTAACTTCCATTCCTTTGAATGGAAAATACTGGTAAGGGTTATATGATTACCAGGCTCTTCAGGTTTTTTTTCCATTCAAGTTAAAATTCCATTATTAACATCAATGCTTTGGTCAACAGCTTTGACTAAATAACACCTGAAACATAATCAACTTGCTACTCTGCTCTTTACTATAATTAAGTGATTTGTTGCCTGGTACACAAAATACTAGCTATTAAATCAGAGCAATCAGTTAAGTTGGAGGAATCAGTACAGTTAAGAGTTAGCACACTCATTTTTCTCTCAAACGGTTGTATTCAAATATAACTTTGTTCCAGAAATGAAAAATAATTGAAAGTGTCAATGTTAATAACAGGTGAAGAGAATGAAGAAGGCTGTTCCTGTCTTCCTACTGTGTTATATGATGAAGCTGACAGGTGCCCAATCTGTTTAAACTGCTTTTTAGAACAGGAGGTTGGATTTCCTGAAAACTGCAGACACTTCTTCTGCATGACCTGTATTCTTAAATGGGCTGAAGTAAGTTTGAGAACAAAGATGTAATATATTCTCTGTTTCTGATACCTTTAATAGGAAAAATAACTGGTTGTAACTGATCACCTTTGACAATTAAAATCTGTGAATTTGTTGTAACTGGATTCAGTTTTTCAAAATTATTTAAATTAGTCTGCTTATAATTAATGCTAAGTAGCTTTCTCCACTGTTTGAATAGTGTGAGACCTTAATTTTTCTTTCTCAAGATCTCCAGCCTCTTGTAATGTCCACGGGAAAATAGCGAATAGTTAATTATGGATATTTCGAATGGGAGATGAGGATAATTACCATTTTATGTTTGAGGCTGCTAATTATACAAAAAGTGTTTGCATCCCACTCCACCATTTATACTTCCATTATCTTATATTGTAAGCCTTTCTGGACAGAGACATTGTTTCATAGGTGTCTGTACGGTATCTACACAATGGAGCATTGATTCTTCTAACTCTTCAGATTGATGCTTCACTTCAGAAATTTATTAAGAAATATTGCTTCCTCTAGATCTTTCATTGTGGTCGTATTAGGAATTGACATGAAATATTAAAATCATAACTGCAATTTCTGACCGTAATTGTTTATTAGGTTTTATTTGCGTTCTAAAGTAAGTGGGAAAACTTCTGTCCTTACATTTCTTTTCCACGATTTTTAATTTGGTATCTAGTGTACACTTCCTAAAAAACTGAATCCACTGCAGCAAAACTATTATTTTTCCAAGGCTGTCAAACTGAGCTTCCATTGAAAGGAGGTAAAAGCAGAGGATTGTTCATTTTGTCTATTACCGTCTTGGGTTCCATGCGTGCATGCGTGTGTGTATATAAAATGTTTTCTTCAAAAAATATTGTCCTTTTGAGTTAGTGTTAAGCTTATCTCTTTCAGTACCATACCAGCCTGAGAATTTTCCTCTCTACAGTCCTCTTTGCTAGAGTAAATGAGATTTTTTTTAAATGCATGTTTTACTAATCATATATTTTAAAAATAAAATCGTTGCCATTTTTGTTTTCTTCTGTAATAGCTTTTCTTATTGTTGTTGCCTTCATTTACTGTATATAGATATTATTTACAAGTCCTGATAAGGATTGAGGCCTCCATTGTGTTAGGTACCTTACAGAAGCATAATAAATGCTGGTTTTGGCCCCAAACCGGTTACAGTCTAATTATCTTAGGCTTTGTCTTCACTGCGAGCTCTTTCAGCAGAAAATATGCTGAGGGACTTATTAGCATAAGTTCTGGTCTCATTTGCATATTTTCTGCTGTTTCTTTTTGTGCAAGGGGCTTTTGCGCAAAAAGAAGCAGTGTAGATGGGGAAGGATTGCGCAAAACCCCCTGTTTTGCACAAGTTTCCAAACAGACATAAGGATCTTGCACAAAACAGGGTTTTGCGCAAAAAACCCTTGTCCACACTGCTGCTTTTTGTGCAAAACCCCCTTGCGCAAAAAGAAATGGCAGAAAATATATGAATGAGATCACGGCTTATGCTAATGAGTCCCTCAGCATATTTTCTGCTGAAAGAGCTCGCAGTGAAGACAAAGCCTAAGATAGACGAAGATGTACTTTTCAGTTTGCTCATATGCTATATAGGTTTTGTTAGTTGCTTAAAGGTCTTGCCTGATTGTTCCATCATGGCTGAAGATGAGTGGGGCTTGGAGGGGAAATGTCAAATGACTTCATGAAGATTCCTTTCTTCTCTGGGGCTTAGAATCCCTTCAGCCCATGTAATTATATAAATATAATTTAAAACTACTTTGTAAAATGTGGTGGTGAGATACCCAGCAAAGGTATTTTGGCTAAATTTTTAAGTGGCTTTGTAGAAGTATATTTTAAACATATGGTCAATAGCAGTATGTTAATATCGTATGCTTTGTTCACTAATTTTCCTAATTAATGAGTATTAAATATTTACTGTATATTTGGGTGCATTTATATTTTGGTGAAGGAGGAGTTTAGTATTTGCTTGCATACTTTTATCCTCTTGTATGAGCATTCATTTATGAATAACTGTCAATTACTTTGAGTAGAAATCACCTAATTCAGAATATAGAAGATGTTACAATTACATCATCTTCTATTAAATGTACAATAGCTATTTTTGTACCACCATATACAAGTTCCTGATGGTTTTTGGTTTAAAAGATATTTTAAAGGTAAAACTTCATCCATAAGAAGGGGAATAAAAACCCTAAGCAGTGGTCTGAAAATTCTAATCTGAAAGATTTTTTTTTTTCCTCCCACCTTCCAAAATGTCCTATGTTCTATTTTCAATATAGTCTATAAAAACAACTAAGATTAAAAAAGAGTTGCTCAACGTGATTTGAACTACTATCAAATTTTTATTTGCTATAGAGGAACCATCTTAAAAACACTTAATATATACACACACTGACACAGGATATTTTACAGTTAAGCTCTGCTTAAAAAACAACAACCCTGAATTTAAAAAGCAAGGTTTCCTGATATTTTTTTTTCCAGAAGAAATCTCTGCTCTGATTTGTATGAGAGAGAGTAGTGTCCTAAGAAAGAGAATATTAGTAAATAGCAGGAAGAGATTATGTTACCATAACATTCTACTTTTGTGGAGTTGTTTTGTAAGATTCTTAGTCCTGGATCTTTGCTGTCCGGTAAGAGTCAAGTGTTACCCACCCAAATTCATCCTCATACTTGACAGTCTTATCTCATTATGGAACTTTTTATTCATTTCTTCCTTTTTCCTGACCGAGTTCAGCATGAGCTACCCTGCTAAAGATACCTCTATGCAGTTATTGCTCTTGCCCAGCACCTACTCTGCTTTATCTATTCTGCTTGCCCCTCAACCTTATAGTAAGCCCTTGTTCTCCATAAATTGTTTTATTATGGTGCAACATCAAAGCTTTTCCACCACCACTAGATCAGGTGCATCAATAGAAAGATCTTAAAGAATCTTCTCTTCCATTGCATAGGTTCTTCTACTGGCATTGAGTACTTTGAAAGTGTTGCTTCAGTACTTTGACAAGTAACATTTTAGCTCTTCCACAGTCTTGCACAAGGATTTAAACCATGGAGAGGCGAAGAGAGGATAGTTGTATCTTGAGGGGCAGTTGACATATTTATAAAATATTTTTATTTTCAAAAACAACAAACATGCTAAGTTATTTTATATGTGAATAATCTTGTTTTAGATCATGGCTTCATGTCCAGTTGATCGCAAACCTTTTCAAGCAGTGTATCAGCTTGGTGCATTGAAATACCATATTAAGGTAAGTCCAAGGTTCCTTTTCAAATAGATTTTAATTATAGGAACTTGTGGGTCATGCTGAAGCCTGTTGCTAGTAAATTACCTATATTAATTAGGATGTGATGCAAATGTGTATTCCACTGCCCACCCTCCATCACCTTTGCATTGGAGTCTTCTTATATGGGGTTTTGGTACAAAGAAACTGAGGGCAGGCAGGGCAGCATCACTCATAACCAGAAGAGGCTCCATAGCCATGAGGTGCGCACACCTTTCCTTTACAGGTACTGCTAGGCAAAATCTCTGGCTGTGATGCTCTGGGTGCACACGTACCTAAGTGGATTACATGTCTGCATCACATCTCGAAGAACCACAGTTACAGTAAGTAACTGTTTCTAATTGGGAAGCAGTGCATAATGCTGTTTTTTAACAAAGCTGGGTGGATAATAATGGAATTACTTGCTATGAAAATCTGAATCTTGACAGATGATGTAACCATTTTGATCTGGCAGAATTTTAAATGCATGATTGATAAGGCCAGTAAATCCCTATATATCAGATTAAGATATGTCAAAAATACTGACAGCACCCATACATTTTGGTGTCCAAATAGCTATATCTTAAGGAAGTATCACACTTGGCTCTTGTAAGATACAGGAGTGAAGAAGTCCTAATGCATTAGTTTTAAAATAATATTTTTATGCATTATATTGTGCTGTCTAATTCCAAGACTGACTTCATTTTTTTTTATTTCAGGTTCAGGAGAAGATTCAACTAAGAGATAAGGGAGAAAAAGAAAATTATTGCTGCAATAAGGAAAAATGTTATCACATGAATACAAAAATCTTAACGAGGTTGGTGTGCTCTGAATGTATGAATCTCTAATAAGAATTACCATTTGCTATTAACCGTTGAAGCCTCAGTTTGGAGGTTCCTCAGAAGGCAACGTCATGCATGTATACCTTTTCTAAGTAACTTTATCGAGACACTAAATATTTTCATGATTCTCCTTTTTAATATAACCTATTAAATGACTTGCAGGAGACCTTATGAATGTATGCATTCCAAAAAGCATAGGTTGATATTTTCATATCAGGCTGGGGATTTAACACATATTGCATTAATTTTTAATGGAGGTGCTATATGGTAAATCACTACTCTGCTTTTAAATTATAAACTTTATATGTGAGTGCATAACTGGTTGCCTAAACGTTCCCAGAGAGAATTATCAATTGTTCAACTGTCATGTTGGTAGGGCATAACAAGTGGGGTTCTGCAGTGATCAGTTTTGGGACTGGTTCTGTTCAATGTCTTCATCAGTGATTTTAGATAATGTCATAGAGAGTACACTTAAAAGATTTGCAGGTGATACCAACTTTGGAGGGGTTGCAAGTGCTTTGGATAATAGGGCCATCATTCAAAATGATATGGACAAACTGGAGAAAAAGGTATGGGTATGAGGTAAATAGGATGAAATTCAGTAAGGACAAATGCAGAGTACTGCACTTGGGAAAGAACAATCAGTTTACAAAATAGGAAATGACTGGCCAGGAAGAAGAACTGTAGAAAGGGATCTAGGGCTCCTAGTGGACCACAGCTAAATAGGACTCAACATTGTGATGCTGTTGCCAAAAAACCAACCACCATCATCATCATCCTGGAATGTATTAACAGTAGGATGTAATAGTGTATTCGATTAAACAATTAACCAATAAGCAGGTGCTTATCAGTTACCACTATAGGGTATACACAACCCCTCCCTTCTGTTCATGCATGGAAAGATCTTGGTTAAAACTAATACATATAGCATTGCTTTAAAAAAAATTTGCTTTTACTGATTTATATGGAAGAGGGGATGCTATTGTCCTGTAAGGTCTTTGATATGTTTTAGAGTCTCTACATCATTGACAATAAGGATCAGCTTTCGTGGTGTGGTGCATTGCTGTAACTTTTTTCCTATGGCTCTTAAATTCCATATGTGATTGAACTGCTTCAGCAGTAAAATAATCAGACCACAATAATATTTTGTTACTTGTGATTTTAGTTATGACTCTAGAATTTGCAGTAGCTCAGAAAGCAATTAGCAACTATTGTTCCTGTTTGCAAGCATGCAAACTTAAGAGTTTTATGTGCCCAAATATACTAAGCAAATTCACCAAGAGCTGTACAGTGGACTCTTAAAATGCACTAGTTTATTTCTAAATCAATGTTCATGTGGTTGATATGTTTTCCTGAATAAAAATTTAAATTTGTAAATTTCTAAAACTGTATTAAAAAGATGAACTGCAAAGATTTTGTTGAAAATCAAGATACTCATTTGGTGCTATTTTAGCAATGGTAACAAAATAGTATGAATACCTGTTGCATTATTTCTCAGTGGTTCTCGAGTTGATCTGGCAGATGATAATACAGTGGGAATTTTGATGGATCAGTTTGAAAATAATTGCTTGTTACAGGGTCAGTTGATGTAAAATTTTCATTCCAGATGATTTGAAGTTGCTAATCATGGATTCATCCTTCAGTCTGATCCTTAGCAATCCAAATGCTTAAAATTTACCAAAGTTTTAAAGCTCTCCTTGGCAGAAGAGCCATTTAGTGCTATTGCAAATAATTCTTCGTTAATCTTACAGAAAGGATACACATGCAGACAAAGGACCATTAATAGAAAAACTCTGTAAAAATTTGAAGAATGACAGTAAGTTGATATTTTTCTGTCTGCTACTTTCAGAACCACATGGATCTTCATCAACATATTCTAGGATTATTTTCTTTTCTTTGTTTTCCTAAATCACTTATTTATAAATAGTAACCATCTTTCTGTTGCTCTGAATTTGGATAAAAAGAGAAAACTTCTGGGATGGTGGAACTGTATATTCCATGCAAAGTTAAAATGTGAAAGCTTTCTTTTTAATCGTAATTAAACTGGTGTATATCACAAGTGAAATGGATTTGGTTTTCAACCTAACAGGTGTCACTCTGTATCACAGAACCATCACAATTCAACACATTGGCAGTCTCTGCTAACAAGAAACCCGCAGCTAGGTTATAGCAGTTCAGAACTGAGTTGTTTTAGCAGTATTTTGGGGGATCATTTTCAAAGAGCCATTTTCTAGTTAGTAGGTCCTCTTTAATCTGATGTAATATAGACATACAATTGCAAGATGACATTTTCTTTGCTGTTATATTTTATTAATAGCTATAAATAGTAATAGTTAAAGTTGGCTTGAGATATTGAACTATATTTCTTACAGTACATTGACATTGTAAAAAAAAAAAAATGTCAGCACCCACTCTAAAAGTCTAAGGCAATTGACTCACGCCCCTGGGACTCTCACCATGAAACTTCTGGTGAGACATGCATGCTTAGGGTAGAGTCTGATGTTTAAGTACCTAAAGGAGGAAGGATCTCAGAGTTCAGCCAAATGCACAAATGTATGTAACCTGGAGTTTGTAGTCCCAGAAACCCAAGTCAGCTGAGTTGTGCCTGCCACAGCTGTGCCACAGGTATTTTATTGCAGTGTAAACGCACACTTAATTTTTTTTCTTGTAAGTGATTTATCTGGTGGTAAAATGGAGTCTTTACAGATCTTCATAGAACTTCAAGCAGAAGCAACCCTTAAATAATCTGCTGTGAGCTCCTATATATCACAGGTCATTAAATTTCACCCAGTTATCTAGTAGTGGGCCTAGTAACTTATTTAATTAAAAATACACCTTCCAGGAAGGCATCCAGTCTTGATTAGAAGAGATCAAGAAAAGTAGAATTCACTATTTACCTTGGCAGTTTGTTCCAGTGTTTAATCATGTTCACTGCTAAGACATTTGTCTGGCTTCCATGTCCAGCCACTGGTGCTTGTTGTGCTTTTGTCCACTAGGTTAAAGAGCTCTTTTTAGTATCTGGTATTTTCTCCCCCATGGAAGTATTTGTACAATGATCAGGTCAACATTCAGTTTTCTTTTTTGATAACCAAAACACATTGAGGTCTGTAAGCCTCCTCACTGTAAGGAATATATAATCCGTGAATTCACAAACCCTTTCATACTTATTGGCCTTAACTAAATAGAAAGTGTGTCATGGATCCCTTTCTCTTATTCCTAACTTTTTCACCTCACCCCCCTTTCATTATTGCATATCATCCTGATAGCAGGTATTGCAATTGCTAAATATTAATATTATTACTAGTATTACCATCATATCAGGAAAGCAGTGTTCTATTTTTCACTGTCTGTTAAGGTAATTTGGTGGTTGGAAATAAGGAGAACTATTACTTTGACTAGTTAGATGTCTGTGGCCTACAAGCAGTTAGTCCATGGACAAGTTTAAGAATTGCTTTAATAATGTGTTTGGTTTCTAAATTAAAATCAGTAACTTTTGCATTCCAGATTACATGGATTTAGTTATAATAGCATCTGTCTAATTGACTGCTGAGAAATTCCTTATAGAAAAGAATGCATCCCAACACAAACATAGTCTCATCAGCATCTCTCTCTCGCCTGTTTGTTGTAGTTTATACATGATTAATGGACTATTTAATATTCCGTTTCCATTCTTAATGTATTAGTAGTAATTTCCTCTCAAAAAGGTTGCCAATAGTATGTACTGGTTATTCTCTCTGAGTTACTTCTTGTGTCTTGACTTTAACAGTTAAAAAAAAAAAAAATTGGAGTGATTCTCATTTGTCAGTACTATAATATTGCTGTTGCACTAATGCTCTTAAACAAATACTTAAAGAGCAAAATGTGTTAAAATTGAGAACAAAATGTGTCATCTTAATTTTTATACAGGTGGTATTTCAGATGAAGAAAGAAATAAGGAAACTGCACCTGTAAAGATAAACAAGGTTTGTTCAAATAAAACGAAGAAAATATCTTGGTGAAACTAGGAAGGTTTTTTTACACTGCAAATTCTTTTGAAAGTTTAACTTATCTAAAATACTGCATACTTGTAATTATTTAAAAAATAACCAATATTACATAAATCACTTTGTGAACTTTTTCTTTTGATAATCTGCTTACAATAATTTTGTACTGGTACATTGTGTTACACTAAAATGTCAAGGATATCCTGCAGTAACTAAAGGTGAGCTTCAGTATAGATCCAAAACAGCATGATGCACCTGGGAGTGCTCGAAGAAAGTTCAAACTGTTTCATTAGTGAAGTATTGTATCTTCTCATTAACCTGAGGCATCAGCCACAGGCTTTTAGGCAAAGAAATTAATATATAGAGGCCACACAGAGAGAGGAATGCCTGTATCAACAGATGTACTTAACCAAGTAATTTGCTATGTGAATAAACATAACTATTCAAAATTAGAATAATTCCATTTTAATGGGATTGCCTGAAGATAACCAATTAGCATCTTCCAGTTCTTTTGCTTTCCTTGTATAATTTAATGTTACACCAACCATTTGGAGTCAAAATTATAAGAAGCCATGAAGTCTCCAGACAGTTACTTTCTTTTCATGGCTGCTGCATTTGTAGAAACCATCACTCTGTGCCCAGAATTTATTTTGGTTTTTTGCCTAAGACAACTTTGTTTGCTGTTACTTGTTATAGAAACCTACAACTATTTAAAAATGTATCCTGCGTAGTTTAGATTTCATGCCCCCAGTTTTCCTGGTGTATGGTGGGCTTTGAGGATATCTGTTTTCAGGCTCATTGTTTGTTTACATCTTGAAGCCCAAAAGTAGTTCCAGGCTTTCTTTTCCTGTGATAGCCCCACAAGCCAGGTCTCTTGATCTGTGTTTTGGGGTCTCATTCCCAAATACATACAAAGTTATCATTCATCCACTTAAAAGCATCTGAAGTGGGTAGATAGGCCTTTGTGATGTGAGTTCAGCGTACATCAATGTGGCTCCATGATGGATCAACGCTCTGAATGTCCAGTGTTGTTCGTTACGGCATCTTTGAAATAGCCTTAATCATTGAAGCTGAAACCTGTTAATAGAAGGCAGTATGCCACATATATAAGGTAACCAGACTTTCTTCAGCAGAAATCAATGGAAAAAGTCTATTAGTATCTTTGGTAAAGATACTGAACTCAGAATTATCCACAATAAAATCTATTTACTTACAGCACCTAAGTACTTTCAATATAGTTATTTTTAAAGGATATTTGGTAAGCAGTTGATACTAGGGGTTCTATCCATACTCTCACAAAACATTACGTCCTAGTACAGATTTTAATAGCAGATGCATCCTGTGGTTTGACAGGTCTTCCATCCTCAAACCTTCCATATCAGTGAGTACTATCTCAGGGTATGTCTACACTACCCCGCTAGTTCAAACTAGCGGGGGTAATGTAGTCATCCGCACTTGCAAATGAAACCCGGGATTTGAATTTCCCAGGCTTCATTTGCATGAAGCCGGCCGGCGCCATTTTTAAATGCTGGCTAGTTCGAACCCCGTGCCGCGCGGCTACACGCGGCACAGAGTAGCTAGTTTGGATTAGGCTTCTAATCCAAACTAGCTGTACTCCTCATGGAAGCCTAATCCGAACTAGTTACTCTGTGCCGCGTGTAGCCGCACGGCACGGGGTTCGAACTAGCTGGCATTTAAAAATGGTGCCGGCCGGCTTTATGTAAATGAAGCCCCGCCCGGGCTTCATTTGCAAGTGCGGATGACTACATTACCCCCGCTAGTTCAAACTAGCGGGGTAGTGTAGACATACCCTCTGCCAGCCATAGTGGAATACACTTAGAGAGTTGAAGAAAAAGGTTCTTACCTTGTATAGTAACTGGAGTTATTTGAGGTATGTGGGCTATGTGTTTTATGCCATTACCTGCTCTCCTTGTCCTCTGCTTCAGATTCTTGACTCATGATTTCCAATAAAGGTGAGGTGGTCAATCTGTACTGCCTTTTCTACACTCAGTTCAGAGCTCAAGAAGGAGGAGTGTAGTCACAGACCAACAGATAATTGCTATAAAAAAGTCTTCCAGTCTTACCACATGTGTAGCCACAGTAGAATGCAGTTTGGACCTTGCTGGTCTGGCACCCTCCGGACTTGACTAGTCCCGAAGGGGGAGATTTGCTAGACCGGAGGAGGTCTTGCCTCTTCTGATCCGGGCTGCCACCAGGTTAGAACTCCAGCCTGCCTGCTCTACTGTCCCAGGTCCTCGGGGTTCTCCATATGCTGCTGGCCCCACTGCTGCCAAGGCTGGAGGGCCACAGCTAATGCTCTGCAGCTGCCTGGCTCCGAGGCTGGAGCTCCCTTGCCGCCTCTGGGGCTGGAGCCTGAGCTCCATGGCTGCTGCTGGGGTCAGAACTCCCCACTGTTCTGCCCGTTTCCTCCCCCACGCATGCACACTGGGCTCCCAGCTGGCCGCCAGACCTTCCTGTTCTTGGGCTCTGTGGTCCAGGAACATCCATGGTCAGTACCAAAGCACAGATGATGTTGGACCAGGGAGTCCAGGTTAAGGAAGGTACATAAGAACACCCATAGTGAGTCAGACCAAAGGTCCATCCAGCCCTGTATCCTGTCTACCAACAGTGTCCAATACCACATGACAATGGCCACACAGAACCTCCTATTCCTCCTACCGCCAGGGTCCATTCCACAGGTGCTCCTGCATTTCGAGTACTTGGAGTATGACTGTCCAAATGTATTTGAAAGCATAGAATACATACAAACACTTTTAAATAAAGGGTATTTTATTAGCACAGTTAATCAAGATTGATTTTAATCACTCGACAGCCCTATTGATTATTTAATTTTTAATCTGATGTGCATTTTATAAACTACAGTAGCAGGCAGTTGAGACCCCTGTATTGTTGGGTCATTCATAGAAATAAGAATTGTGAAGTGGTACAAAGGTATATAAAAGAAATATAGGTTGGACCTCCCTGGTCCAGCACCCTCATGACCTGAGCTGTCCTGGACCATGGACAGTGTTCCTTTGCTGGCTATCCCGGTCCCAGGCTCCTCTCCTTGGGGCTCCCTGCACTGCCACTGGCCCACCATTGCTCCCCACCTTACTACCTGCTTGCTGCTCTGGGGTTCTGGCAGGGGCTGCTGCCAGTCCTGCTACCACTGGGGGTTCCCCAGCTGGGGCCACCCGTCCACACCATGCTGCTTCTAGGGCTGCCCTGCTGTCACTGGGGATTCCCTGGCAGAGGCTGCTCTGTCATCCCAGCCCTACGGCCCTTGTGGGATTCCTGGGATCCAGTGGCAGCTGGGGGTTCCTCAGCTGGGGCTGGGATTCCCTGATCACCTTGCCTCGCTAATGCCAGAGGTTCCTTGGCCAGGGCTGGAGCTTCCCAGCCACCGCCTGGCCTCGTTGATGCTGGGGTTCCTATTGGATCATGGATGTTGCTGGACCAGGCAGTCCCAGATTTGGGAGGTTCAACCTTTATAGGTGTTACTTATCAAACTGCAGTAGAATGAGACTTAGAAATATATATGAAATTATGGTAGTCAGGTAGATATTTTTGGAAACTAATGAAGTAATAAATTAGAAGCATGAAGAAGCAAAACCAGGAGTAGATACCTTCTGTAAGTGAAAGGAAACTATTTTACTGCCTCCTGTTTCTGTTTTTATTGGGACCCTTTCTTGTAAGCAACTGTAAATAAACTTTTGTTTCATTTTTACTAAAGTTGTCAAATATTTATGCTAGTAAAACATACATTTTTATGTTCATGTACTTTATCAGAACTCACCTGTATTAAAAAAAATACTTCAATTGCAGAAGCAGACTACCACAATTGTTTAAATTTAGATTTTTTTTAACCTACCCATGATATTTATTATCTAGCATCAAAATGTGATAGGCAGCTTATGACAATAAGAAAGCATGTGTCTAAGCATTTAGTTATCCCACCATCCAAAAATGTCCTAGAACTTGAGTTTGCTTAAGTGCAGAGCTCATCATTGCAATCACTGAAAAGCAAGGATATTTCCAATTTTGGCACCCTTATTAAACATGCTATATGTAACACATGACATTATGCAATCAATGACATACTCTGTATCTCCACAAGATGGTTCTTTACGCTTCTAAGTTACTCAAACACAGTGAAGCATACAATACTTCTCTAGATCGTACGCTAAAACAAAACCTGAGCTATAATCTCAAAACCAATGTTAATTTTCTGTGGTGATATGAGCAGTTAATAAGCATTAGCAGTGGTTGTCTAGGGGGAAATATGAGGCTGGAGTTAATTTTGCATTTAGATGTGATTCAGAGGAATTTAATATGTTGTTGGAAATGCAGTGAGCTGAGGCACAGTCACTGAGGGTATGTCTACACTACAAAGTTAGTTCGAACTAACGGACGTTAGTTCGAACTAACTTTCATAGGCGCTACACTAGTGCTCCGTTAGTTCGAACTTAATTCGAACTAACGGAGCGCTTAGTTCGAACTAGGTAATCCTCATTCCACGAGGATTAAGCCTAGTTCGAATCCGGACCCTTTAAGCGCAGCCCTCGGCTACCCTGAGACAGCATCTCCACGCTCTAAGTCCTCCTCTGATGCCCTGCCGGCACTGCTTCCGGCCATCCTTAAGCCTGGTTCAGGGTCCACTTAATGTGGACATGCTAGTTCGAATTAGCAAAACGCTAATTTGAACTAGTTTTTAGTTCTAGACGCGTTAGTTCGAATTAACTAATTCGAACTAAGTTAGTTCGAATTAGCGCTGTAGTGTAGACGTACCCTGAGAGTGCACAGACTTCAAAGAAACCTAGAGGTGGGGGAAACCACAAAAGTCCCATCCTCCACTCCTCCTGCATTGCCCTGTTCTCCCCAAACATAAAAACACTTCTCGAAAACAGACATTGTGCTGCCCCATCCTTTGCAAGATTGGTTTGCAAGATTCCCCTCTCTGCTTCCTTCTTTGTATCCTCCTCTTCATGATGATGCTATCTGATTTGCTGGGGGTCCCAGGCAACTCTGAAAGCTTCTGCTTCTCTTGCCCCCTTAATAAAGCAAATTCTCTTCTGACCCTCTGCACAGTTATGTATGCCCCAGAGATCCCATCTGCCCCTACCTATGTACACGTCTCCTAACTGCCCAGCTGCCTTTTTAGACTCTCTGTGCAAGGTAAGGATATAAAAATGCGATTATCTGGGTAATCATATAGTCGATACAATTTATATCAACTATAGGGGTGGTCAGTAAGTGCTGCTGTGCAGAGCCGCAGCAGAGAGCTCCAGGAGCCAGCTCTGGAGCCACCTGCACTGCTGCTCTGAATTTTAAATGTAGTAAAAGTTGCTGGGTTCTTAATACATTTTAAATGCAAAGGTGCAGCAATCAGTGCGAGCTGAGACTGCTTGGTCCCGGCTCATGCGGAGTCCAGCAGCTCCTGTTTGCAGCGAACAGGGGCTGGTGCCAAACCAGACA